CTGGAGTTCCACAGGGAAGTGTCCTTGGTCCCCTGCTCTTCCTCATATACATCAATGATCTTCCAAACGTATCCCAACACCTGAACCCCATTCTCTTTGCTGACGACACGACTTATGTCATCTCTCACCCTAATCTTGCCACCCTCAACACCATTGTTAACGAGGAGCTGTTCAAAATATCAACTTGGATGACAGCCAATAAACTTATGCTTAACACTGACAAAACCTACTATATTATGTTTGGTAGCAGAGTAGGAGTTGCGCAAATTAACATTAAGATCAACAGCACTCTAATTGCCAGACATAATGAGGGCAAATTCCTAGGCCTATACCTCGACAACAACCTGAATTTCAGCACCCATATCCAACACAACCAAAAAAAGTATCCAAAACGGTTGAGATCCTCTCCAAGATACGATACTGCGTGCCGCAAAATGCCCTTCTCACACTATACCATTCACTTATTTATCCATACCTCACCTATGCTATTTGTGCTTGGGGATCAACTGCAACAACTCACCTAAAGCCAATAATAACCCAACAAAAAGCCACAGTAAGAATAACCACTAAATCCCATCCCTGGCAACACACCCCCCACTCTTCATAGATCTAAACTTACTCCCTGTTTAGTACATCCACACTTACTACTGTGCAATCTACATCTACAGGACCTTAAATTCCAATATTAACCTTGACCTAAAACGCTTTCTTGATAGTTGTGACAGAACCCACAGGCATAACACCAGACACAAACATCTCTATGACATTCCCCATGTCCGACTAAACCTCTACAAAAATTCAATGTATGTCAAAGGCCCTAAAATCTGGAACACCCTCCCTGAATACTCTAGAACTGCAGACACATTCATCACCTTCAAAACTACCATTAGAAAACATCTTATCTCCCTGATACACCCCGTCAACTAATTCCATGAATACCACCTGGTGGTTCACACTTACACTCACTCACCCACTTGACCATAAGCACAGAAATATCAACACTCACTCACCCACTTGACCATAAGCACAGAAATATCAATCTTAATCTTAAAATAATGAATCCTAACTAGTCATAAGTTGGCCTGTGATACTCCAATACTGAAACTATGTATTGTGCAAAAACAAAAGCATTCACATTGCTAAACTCACAAACTAGTATTTAGTCACTTAGCCATAATACCAACTTTCCTCATAATTTGTAATATTTTAAAGTTAAGAATTAATCTAAGTCTGCCCAAAATGCCTATCCATGCTAGGTGTTCTAGTGGCCCCCTCTGTAATTAGTATTTTAAAACATGTAAACCACACAATATCCAAATTCTGTAAACTCAGCATTGTAATCCTTATAGAGAATAAACTTGATTTGATTTGATTTGATTTGAGTTGATAAATGGAGAAAAAGAAATGGGAATTACTTATGCAGCAAGTAGTGTCACCAAACAGTACCAGCAGGTTGGTGTGGCAACCCTGGAAATTTGAAATTATGCTAGCTGAAATTAGTGCCGAATAACTGATGGAACCGGATGTCTGACTGCCGGATTTGTGATGGCAGACCTGTACAAAAGAGTGGCTCATGTCCTTTCGCCTGCTATTTCATTACTTTTTAACAAATCGCTAGAAGCTAGCACTTTCCTGGCACTACTCAAGACAGCAAGGGTTACACCAATACACAAAGGTGGTGACCCCACATATGTAAATAACTACAGGCCAATATCAAACTTGCTGTTGCTATCCAAAATCATCGAGAAACTCGTGCAAAAGAGATTATACACCTACCATCCGACTTACGACCTGCTCGACTTTTGACCACTCGACTTACGACCGTGTTTTTTTATGCCAAATTTCTGGGAAATAAACAACTATTTGTGTTGTACACAGTGTTTATCCTAAACCTTACAGTATAAAATACAGTACTAACAGCATAAAAAGCAAAGTAAAACATGAAATACCAAAATAAAACAATAAAATAAAGTCATTACAAAAATGTTATGTTGATATTTAGTAGTAAAGTTCGACTTACGACCGGTTTCTCGGAACCGAACTTGGTTGTAAGTCGGATGGTAGGTGTATTCGTTTATAACAGCACAAAGAATTCTCAACCTCTGCCAATTTGGCTTCAGAAAAAACAAAAGCACAAACAATGCAATTGTAAAAATGACAGACCTGCTTTACACAGCACTGGAAAATAAGGAGTATCCATTAGGAGTCTTACTGACCTAAGGAAAGCTTTTGATACAGTAGGCTACGGCATCCTACTCAACAAACTTGACCGTTATGGTATAAGAGGCCACCCACCTACATATTTCAAATCCTACCTTACTAACAAGTATCAATATGTTTCCATTAAGGACAACCTCATTAACCCTTAAACGGTCCAAACGTATATATACGTTTTATTTTTCCTGCCTCCAAATTTGGCACGATTGGCCTGAGATGCCTGGTCAGCATAGAACTGGTCTTAACACTTGGTGTGCGCAGTATTAACCCTTTGACTGTCGAAGGGCCCAATCCTGAAGTTGCTCCTGGTGTCGCAAAATATTCGAAAAAAAAAATTATTTTTTCTTATGAAATGATAGAGAATCTTTTCCCGATTGTAAAGACACCAAAAAAACGAAATTTGATGGAAAACTGACGGAATTACGCTCTCGCGAAGTTAGCGACTTCGGCGATATTTAAAAATCGGCAATTTCGCCCACTTTGAGCCCTATTTTCGGCTAATTCCGTTATTCCAGTCAACCAAACTCATAACTATTTCTTCAGAACTCTATTTTTTCTATCGATTGAGCACAAGAAACTGCCCATTTACCGATTTCAACTACCCAATAACATGGTCAGAAATTTGCAATTTGGCCAATTTCACGAAAATTAAAAAATACGACAATTTCAAAATAAGGTCCAGAATGAACAATGCAGACATTCCTGGCTCTAAAATAAGATTTTCTTTGTTCATCAGTCATGTCTCCAGGTTCCTGTGATATTACTCTTGCTTTTTATTTTGAAATTTTATTCAAACAAAAAATAGAAGATTTACTGTTATGCAGACTACTGCAATACTGTAATAATTGTAAAAATTACATCAACCCATTCATGACTGCGTATTAGAATGGCTATTTGGACATTTATTGGACAATGACATCATTTGTTTACTTTTGAACATCGGCAAAAATCAAACATTTCCTGTACTTTGTGCTCCATTTCCAGGTTCTTTTTATAGTAAAATTAATCAAAATCACCTCCATTTCTATAATATAGTTTCCATTCTATCAAATGAGACCATGAAAACGAGAATACAACCACAAATACTATACGAAAATAGACCACAAAGTCGGCATTTTAATTAAAAAAAACGGTCGGAGTTTTTTTTTTCTCATTATGCACTGCGTGCTCCAGGATTTTTTTTATGTGGTGCACACTGACCACACAGACCCATTCTCTCACATGTGGGCCTACTAGCTTTCTCCTGCCTGATTTGAAGCCGCTAGAATTTTGAGTATATATACGTCAAACACGGTACCTCACAAACGTATATATACGGCCGCGACAGTCAAAGGGTTAAAAAAATCTGGGACCACTTAGTACCTCGTGGGAGCACCAGTTAAATTGAGTGCCAGCTAGAGCAAACAGTGCAGCAAACACCAAGGATTCACTGATGTAATGTCATATTAACACTTCTCTTTTAAGAGGAAAGTGATGATAACCCCAAGTTTAGGGTCAGTCGATCTCTTTCTATTTTTGTCTATCTCTGTCTTCTATCTGTCTGTGTCTATTGTCTCTGTCTTTGTCTATCTCTATCTGTCTCTGTCTATCCGTCTTCGTCTTGTCTATCTCTATCTGCCTCTGTCTGTCTCTATCTGTGTCTGTGTGTCTCTGTCTATCTGTCTCTGTCTTTGTCTATCTCTATCTGTCTCTGTCTATCTGTGTCTATCTGTCTCTGGCTTTGTCTGTCTCTGTCTATCTCTTTCAATCTGTCTTTGTCCATCTCTGTCTCACAGGTACACATAAATACAAGTATATGTAGTATAAATTACCTAGGATAACCCAAAAATCCAGACAAAGTGCTATACTCTGCTTGAAGATGTGAGTAAAGGTGATGACGTAGTCTTGTGGCTCTCTCTAGACAGAGAGCTAGATGGATAGATAGACAGGGAGCTTGACAGACATACAAATAGACAGACAGAAATGTTTGTGTACCAGCAAAAACAAAGAGGGGTGTGATCATCTAATCTTTTTTTATCAGTTGCACCCTCCCCAACCCTCGTTTACTTATTACGTATTATTATTATTATTATTATTATTATTATTATTATTATTATTATTATTATTATTATTATTATTATTCTCCTTCTCCTCCTTCTCCTCCTCCTCATTATTATTGTATACTTCCACGTATCCAAAACATTGCTGGAATATAAACATTGTTTATATTCCAAGACAATAGTAAATGGCTAAGGCAGGTGTAAATGTCCACCTGTCAATATGTTAGTGACAATTTGAGTACAATTTCAGTACCTAATACTAGTGTCAGAACAAAGCTTGGTTATAAAATGACAAGAACTACTACAAACTGTAATTATCAGAATATAAAAATTACATAAAATAATATGAAAAATAAAAAAATGGTATATCGGCAACACTTCTGCAAGCGGCAGGACTCTATGTTGCTGTCACACGACCATCCAGTGCCAACTTCTCAGCCTCATATCTCGGTAAGTACTGAACCTAAATTTTTTTTTATATTCTATAACACTTAGAAAAAGGTGCTCTTTTTTTCCATATTTTTTTTTTTTTTTTCAAAATATTCGGGGCGCTGCGCGAGTGAACGTATATATACGTTTGGACCATTTAACCCTTTGAGGGTCGACAGGTCTTCTCAGACATTCTTTCTCAGGGTCGGCCAAATTTCAAAAAAAAAATAAAAAAAAATTTTCTTACGAAAACATAGTTTTTTTTTTTTCTAAATATTATAGGCTAAACAAAAAAATTTTACCATCAATACTTACCGAGATATGGAGGTGAGAAGTTGATGAAAAAGGGGGACAATGTGGCAACATCGCCGACTGCCGTCTCCCGGTATTCTTTTATTTACTTTCTTATGTACTTATTTCTATTATTTTTTAATTTTTCTTTTTCCAAGTAACTTTTATGGCCTGTGAGACCAATATGATCAGTATTTTGTAAGTTTTTTTCTTTTTCAATACTACACAATAAGGGCGTAAACACTGTTGTCATTGTTTTGTTTATAGAAAATATTTACACAAATGATATGAAATGTTGTTTTACTATTTTTCTATATTTTATATACACATATACAGTCACAGGGAATGTTTCTCGAAGTTCTGCAGCCTGTGGAAGTCTTTGAAATATGGTGTCATGCACAGTGGTGTTTTACATTCCTCGCACATAAAACGAGTGTCTCTGCGTTGTGGGTGTTTCCTTGTATGTGCACAGACACCTCTTCTGATCCTTTTTCTTGAAAGCAGTAGCAGGCAGTTTTACCAGGAAGTGATCACCATGCTTCAGACGAGAAGGTAGTTGTTGATAATTTGGAGGGCGGTCTATTGCAGGTGTTCTTCCTTGGTACTTGAATACTATTTGTCTGATGACAGACAAACAGAATTCGCCGTATTGTGGTTTGTTTCTGGTCCTCATCTTATACATATTATAAGCATTGAGCATGGAAATGTCCAGAAGATAGAAAAAGAGTTTTATGTACCACTTATAACTCTTGCGAACACAATCAGCAAACCCAATCTGCATGTCACATTTGTCCACTGAATGCATATTGAAGGTGTAATCAATCACAGCTGCAGGTTTTAGAATGGGTTCATTGCTCTCTCTATGGTGCCTGCCAGTGTCTGCCATTTCATTAGGGTGAACTGATGACAACAGTGTGACATCTCGTTTGTCATGCCACCGAAATGCCATGATGTCATTGGCAGCAAACGCCTGCACCTCACCTCTACGAGTGCCAGCGTCAAACCTGGGCATATGTTTCCGATTTACACGCACTGTGCCACACACATCTGTCATGTTCACTCCCAAAAAATCACTGAGTGAGGGGCTTGTGTACCAGTTATCAGTATATAATATATGCCCCTTACCAAGGTATGGTTCAATCATTGTTCTAACCACATCACAAGAGATGCCCAATAACTTCCTGATATTTTGCAATGTATAACTTCCAGTGTACACAATAATATCCAATACCAGACCACTGTAACAATCACAAAGCACAAACAACTTTATACCAAAGCATTTCCTCTTGCTTGGTATGTACTGCTTGAAAGAGAGTCTTCCTTTGAACAGAATCAAAGACTCGTCAATTACAAGCTTCCTGAAGGGATAAAAATACATATTGAATTTCTCTTTCAGATACACAAACACATGCCTAATCTTATATAACCTGTCAGTTCTGTCAGGCCTGGTTTTGTCTGAGAAGTGAAGCATACGTAACATTAGCACAAATCGATTCACTGGCATTATATCACTGAAACCTGGGGATGCAATCAGGCGGTCTGTTGACCAGTATGATTTCACTTTGTGCTTACACACATGTGGCATAAACATTATTGTGGCAAAGAAAAGATACATCTCAGCCACAGTTGCCTCCTTCCACTGGTGTAGACGTGATTTTGGTGAAAGTACTGTGTTTGCCATGGTGTACTCGTAGTATGTGTTGCTTTCCATGACAATACTTTCCATCAGGGGTTCGTCAAAGAATAACTCAAAACATTCCAGTTCAGTGGCATTGTTCCCAAGTGTACAAGATGGCCGTATTCCACTTTGGCTGTCATCAAACTGGTGGGCATATGGAACAAAATTGACAGCTTCTTGCCAATCCCAGGGCACGGTCTGCTGGTGGGTACTGGACAATGACAGGTGGTTGTGGTTGTGGAGGTTGTGGTTGTGGAGGCTGGTGTGGTGGGTGGGTGGGGGATGGTGGCCTTTGTTGTAGATCAGCTGAGGCAGCAGCATGGGTGGCAGCGTGAGTGGCAGCATGGCCCATTGCTGGTGCCTCACGGCCGTCACCACCACTACCACCACCATGCACATTTTCCATCCCAATTGCAACACTATCATCGTCATTTTCACTGTCTGTTCCTGTTGTACAGCCACGGGATGTACTCCAAGATGTACTCCTTCCCCTTGGAATAGCATATGGCACACTACCAGAGCGCATATATCGTCGTATATACTGACGCTTCACTGGGGAATATTCCACTTCACTATCACTACTGGAACTGTTTTCAAGAGCTTGAAGTTCATAATCACTATCACCATCATAACAAATGCTCACATCTGAGTCTGTGATTTGGGAAAATAGGAGTTTCCTCTTAGATTCTGGTACAACTGAAAGTGAACAAGATGGCCCAGCACCAGAGGTGGAAGGCTGAGGGTCGTCTGGGTTTTCCTCACTACGTATTTCCGATATTATGGTCATTAGTTTCTGTCAAAACCTCACCAAAACCTTGAAACTCATCTTCACTGGCACTTCATCTGTATTAGAACTATCACTGGGGAACAAAAGTGTCGCAATTCACCGAGGAGTGAGGAACTTCTTACCGCGAGGCATGGTGGACATTGTGTACTAAGATGGCGTTCCCACAATGCACCACTGGGTCCCAGATTTTTTTCTACCGCGCACACCGACCACACAGACCCATTCTCTCACATCTAGGCCTACCAGCTTTTCCCGCAAGATTTGACGGAGCTAGAATTTATGCGTACTAGTACGTCAAAAACCCCTGCGCATAAGCCATACTAGTACGTCCGAAACCCTCAAAGGGTTAAGGGTTAACACAACAAATTGATACTGGAGTGCCACAGGAAAGTGTCGTTGGTCCCCTGCTCTTCCTCTTATACATCAATGACCTTCCCAATGTATCACAACACCTAAAACCCATTCTCTTTGCTGACAACATGATTTATGTCATCTTCCACCCAAATCTTGCCTCACCCAACACTATTGTTAATGAAGAGCTACTAAAAATATCAACCAGGATGACTGCCAATAAACTTACACTTAATACTGACAAAACCTTCTACGTATATTATGTTTGGTAACAGAGCAGGTGTTGCACAACTGAACATTATGATTGACAACACTCTTACTGCTAAACATAATGAGGGCAAATTCCTGGGCATACATCTCAACAGCAACCTGAAATTCAGCACCCATATCCAACACAACAAAAAATTATCCAAAACAGTTGGGATTCTCTCTAAGATACATTACTACATACCACAATCAGCCCTACTTACACTATACTATTCACTCATCTATCCCTACCTCACCTATGCCATTTGTGCTTGGGGATCAACAGAAGTAACCCACGTAAAGCCAATAATAATCCAACAAAAAGCCGCAGTAAGAATTATCATGCAATCCAATACTAGGCAACACACTTCCCCACTCTTCAAAGAGCTAAACCTACTCACTGTACAAAACATCTACACTTACTACTGTGCAACCTACATTTACAGAATCATAAATTAAAATATTAACCCTGAACTAAAACACTTTCTTGATAGCTGTGACAGGACCTATAGGCACAATACCAGACACAAAAATCTCTATGACATTCCCCTCATCCAGCTAAATCTACACAAAAACTCAAGTGTAAATAAAAGGGCCTAAAATCTGGAACTCTCTGTCTGAAAACTCTAGAACTGCAGACTCAACCACCATTTTCAAAACTACCATTAAAAAACATCTTATCTCCCTAACACATCCCACTGCCAGCTAACTACATGAAAACCACCTATTCTCTTACTCATATCATCTACACTTACATTCACCCATATTACCGTAAACATAAATTTCCAAATATAGCTATGCCTAATAAATCTTAATTAACCCTCTCAGGGTCCAGAGGCCAAATCTCAGAGTGACAGCCAGGGTACAAGAATTTTCAAAAAAATTCTTTGTTATTTTATCTTATAAGAACGATAGAGACTCTTTTCTGAAGGTAATAAAGCAAAAGTACGAAATTTGATGGGAAATTGATGAAATTACACTCTCCCTAATTTTGATGCGTCAGTGATATTTACACATCGGCGATTTTGCTGACTTTGACCCCCATTTTAGTTCAATTACATTATTCCAGTCGACCAAATTCTTAGCTATTTCACTAGTAATACTTCTATTTTATCGACTGAGCACAAGAAATAGCCCAGTCAACTGTTTCAATTACCCAATAAAGTTATCGGAAATTGGTAATTTGACCAATTTAACAAAGTTCAAAATATTTCAGTTTCAAAATAGGATCCAGAATAAACAATGCAAACATTCCTGGCACTAAACTAACATTTCATCTGTCCATTACTTACGTTTTCAGGCTTTAAAAATAAATTCCATTAACACATTGGTCAATTCCCACCAAGGCAGGGTGGCCTGAAAAAGAAAAACTTTCATTATCATTCACTCCATCACTGTCTTCTCAGAGGGGTACTTTACACTACAGTTATAAAACTGAAACATCACCCTCCTTAAGAGTGTAGACACTGTACTTCCCATCTCCAAGACTCAAGTCCGGCCTGCCGGTTACCCTGCATCCCTTAATAAATGTTACTTTCCTAATGCTCCAACAGCACGTCAAGTATTAAAAACCATTTGTCTCCATTCACTCCTATCAAACACGCTCAGGCACACTTGCTGAAAGTCCAAACCCCTCGCACACAAAACCTCCTTTACCCCCTCCCTCTAACCTTTTCTAGGCCGACCCCTACCCCGCCTTCCCTCCACTACAGATTTATACACTCTTGAAGTCATTCTGTTTTGTTCCATTCTCTCTACATGTCTGAACCACCTCAACAACCCTTCCTCAGCCCTCTGGATAATAGTTTTGGTAATACCACACCTTCTCCTAATTTCCAAACTACGAATTTTCTGCATTATATTCACACCGCACACTGCCCTCAGACACAACATCTCCACTGCCTCCAGCCTTCTCCTCGTTGCAACATTCATCATCCATGCTTCACACCCATACAAGAGTGTTGGTACAACTATACTCTCATACATTCCCCTCTTTCCTTCCATGGGCAAAGTTCTTTGTCTCCATGGACTCACCCTTTTCCCCCTCATCAATTCTTTGATTCACCTCATCCTTCATAGACCCGTTTGCTGACACATCCACTCCTAAATATCTGAATACATTCACCTCCTCCATAATCTCTCCCTCCAATC